CCATGGTTTATGCTGATGACACTTGGTTTCTCTTTGAAGTCAGTTGTCTGAAAGCATGTTGAAGGTGGACTTGAATGAATGGGACAGGTTGGAACCAGGTGATTAAGACAATCTAGTTTCTTTCTTAGGCTAGCTCTGGAGTTCATTCCCAAACTAGCTGTCAGCATTCCAAGTAACATACTCATTGAAAGCAAAACTCTGTGGGAGGTAGATTCCTCAAAAAACATGTTTATTGGGTATATCATAGCCAGTGAAAACCAACTCTAAAAGTTCCCACAGTTTCAACCTAATTAAAAGAGCAAAAATCCCCCCTCCCAGATATCACTGGTCCAATGAATATAGCTGGCAGGCTACTTAGTCACTCCTCTTCCTCCTTCAGCAGCAACCTATTATGATGACCTTGGTTCCCACAGGAAAACTTTTTGTTTTGACTGCTAGCCAGGCTATCTACTTCCCCCTCCCTTCCCCCTCTCAGGCTCCGTGGCAACTATAACACAGCAGAAGATGGCTTCAGCCAGGTTCACTTCAAAGTTGACATTAGCCTTTAGTTAACACTGTCCTTATGGTCCAACATCAGCTCTCCTGTGCTTTACACACCTGCAAAATGTGAGAATTGGTTGCATAGTTATATTTTCATCCTCTTCCTAACCCGAACGGTCACTCTAAAAGGCAATCAGTAAGCGAGAACTATTATGATTAGGGTTGGCTGCAGAGTCAGCCAGCCAAATGTTTATACTGGATTTGGTATTTTTTTTTTTTGAAACAAATTTTATTAATTTTTAAAGACAAACAAAACATCATTAAACCTCTTTCCATTATAAATTTTTACAAGGCAGATAAAACATTGTTTTATACAATACAATTCTAATATATCCCATTTCCACTTAAATATCTTTTAGCAAATTAGCAAGACAGAGGGAAATATGAATAGGATGACTAAGTGCAAAGAGAAGTAATGGATTTGGTATTTTTATCCACCTATGGAATCTTTCCCCAGGTCATGGGAAAAGGAATTGTTGTTGTTTGATGGTGTAAAATTGAAAATAACACTGCTACCGTGTGAAGAGTAAAAGATGCTATTGCAAATTTTCCAATGCACCACTGTTATTACTTTGTCATGTCGATCAGTGCTGGGCTGCTGTCAGTTCAGACCAGTTCTAGTGAACCGGTAGTTCTGATCATCAGCTGGCCACACCCACCTGCCCCCATCCTATCCTGTCCTATATTTCCTTCTTTCTGGCTCAGCTGAGTCATGTGGCTGTGATGACCCGGGGCGTGGCACAAAAGCAACACAGTCAAATAAGCAAGAAGAGTCCCTTTATCATCTCCAATTTTGCCCCCACTGTCCAGGTTACCTTCAGCTGGAGAAAAACTTTGGCCTTTGACTGCAGAAAAGTCAGTCCAAAACAAGGTACATACAAACTGTAACTAAAAATCCAAACAAACAAAGCTGCAATAATTAACTTGACAGGACAGGAGAAAGACTTTCAGACTTGAAAGCACAGCAACACTCACACAGTTGGGAAGACACCAGGAACACAGATAAGCCACGATGATACCAGATAAATTCCCTTCCCCAGTTTCTTCCACAGCCAATGGAGCCACACTCTCACTCCCCGTCAGCTGTTCGGCCTCCCCCTCCAAATCAGATTCCGACAGGGGCATGATAGCGGCACAGTTGATTTCCCTGTCTCAGCTGTTCTACTTACTGGGGCTGCTTCTAATTGCTGTATTTTGAATGCTGCGCGTACAAGCGCAAGCTAACAGAACTGGTTGTTAAACCAGTTGTAGCTCACTGCTGAATGTTTGTAGTCAGCCTGTGCAATCTTCTTGCAGCAGCTAACCAGGCAGTCCGAAGTTCCCTTAGCTTCTCACATTAGGCACAAACCAGCTGAATAACCTTGGACCAGTCCCTCCCTCTTAGCCATGGAAGGAGGCAGTGGCAAACCACTCGTAAAATGCCTTGCCGTGAAAGCTGCAAAGATTTCTCTAGATGTTTTCCAGGGATTAAATCTTTTTCAGATCAGATTCCAGTTCGAAGAAATGTCTTAGCAGATGTTGCATCTTCTGAGACATTCAAGATCAGGCTTCTAACTATAGACTAACAATGGCAACTTCTCATAAAGAAAATTTATATTAAATGTTTCATAGATGGCAGTTACTATTAGCTAAAATGTTTAAAACTATGTCTAGCAAATGTTGGAAATTTAATTATTATTATTTTTTTTTTTGCACATTTAACCATGTGTGGTGGACTTGTGTTAAAGCAAAAAAAAAAATTTGGGCAAAAATACACAGATGGCTAGAAAAGATAATAGGGAAACACGTAGATTTTAAACCTGAACTGTTTTTATTAGGATGATATCAGAAAAAAATGGATAAGAAAAGTATGTATTTAATATTACATGTCTTAAGAGCAGAATATTGGAAAACTGAAGAAACACCACAAGACAAAAAGATAATTAAGATACTAGATTGTGCAAAAATGGATAGACTTACATTTAAAATTAAACAGAAAGAAGTCACAGAATATTATCAAACCTGGAACTTGTTTTACCAGTGGTTGGAAAAAAGGTACAGAGATTAAGAATAGAATCTGTATTGCTAAACAATGTTGCTAAACTATGTTGAAATATCCAGGGGAAAACAGGAATCATACAAGGTCATACAAGGACATATTGTGTGTGTGTGTGTGTGTGTGTGTGTGTGTGTGTGTGTGTGTATATGTATATGTATATATTCATACATTATATACATTATATGTACATGAGAGAGAGAGATAAAGAGAGAGAGAGAGGGAGAAAGAGAGAGAGAGAAGGATAGAGATAGACAGACAGACAGACAGACAGACAGACAGACAGACAGACAGACAGATAGATAGATAGACAGATGAGAGAGAGGTAGAGGTAGAGATAGAGATAGAGATAGATCACTGGTGGGATTCAATTTTTTTTTACTACCGATTCTGTGGGCGTGGCTTGGTGGGCGTGGCAGGGGAAGGATCCTGTATAATCTCCAGTCAGAGGTGGGATTTGCCGGTTCTCCAAACTACTCAAAATTTCCCCTACTGGTTCTCCAGAACTGGTCAGAACCTGCTGAATACCACCTCTGAGGTAGGGTTTGTGTGTGTGTGTGTTCCAATTATGGCTTTAATCTGCAATAATCCATATTAATCAATATGCAGTGCTGCACATCGTAGGACAGATTCAAAGGTAGTTCTGTTAGATTTGAATACTGAGTGACGTGATTTCATGTATTTTCCTGCTAGATCCTGCCACCAAGAGCTTGGAAATGAAGGGCACTGTGTCTTTGGTTGGCACTTACTACAGTGGGAAGTCAGTCCTTGTTACAGGAGCCACTGGGTTTATGGGAAAAGTCCTGGTTGAGAAGCTTCTCCACTCTTGCCACAATGTGAAAGCCATCTACATTTGTGTGCGGTCCAAAGGTGAACATTCCATGCAAACCCGAGTGCAGAATCTGCTGGAATGCAAGGTAAGGAAAAGAAACGGGCAGCAGGAGGTCTCTCCAGTTCTTCTTCTTCTTCTTCTTCTTCTTCTTCTTCTTCTTCTTCTTCTTCTTCTTCTTCTTCTTCTTCTTCTTCTTCT